TTCTTAACGCTGTTACATAGCTACTTTTTCGGACTTTAGAAATGAACCTGATTTTTCTGGAAAACTGTTAGAGATAAGTATGGACAATAACTATCAATATATCAGTCGAAAGGGCATCAATTTTACATTCACCCATGACAATTAATATGAGTCATTCCATTTGAAAAAAAGAAAGTTTTTCAACTCGTAAGATTATTAAATGTAGGTCTCAGTATTTCCGAGTATGAATAACGTACACGTTTTACTTACATTCATATGTAAGTAAAATCTGATCTCGAAAACGGTAAGTTTTAAACACCATGTACATTTAATAAACTCTACCTAATATTAACCAAGGAATTCATAAACGCAATAATATACAGGGTGTTCCATTTAAAATAACAAAGTTATGTAACGCCCACGCGAAATGGTAAAGCTAAAAATATTTTCTTTACATGGCCCACATAATTCCAGACAACTTTTATTAAAACCATTTTCTTATAAATTTTACAGTTGCAGAGTTACAAAAGAATCCCTCTTAGGTGTATAAGGCAGCTTGGTCTTGTGTCACAGCTGGAATTTCGTGGCTTTCCTGGTATTCCCGGAAAAATTCGGAACCTGGAGTCGCTTCGGTGGTTGCTTTACCAACAATACAGGGCTGTCTGCATGTTGTCCACTTTGGTTGGATCGTCTGCGACTCTATGGGCAATTTCGGCGGTTGAATTCGAAACGTGTCAAAATTTTGATTTTGAACCGACGATGTTTGGGTGCTTGTAACGACAGGTTCCTCCATGTTCTCAGACATATGCTACGCTGTTGGAGTGATTTTGGAGCTTTTTAAAGCTCTTCAAGCGATTTCTTGTTTTGAATTTGAAACGTGGACCAAGTTGCTCGTGGCATCTCGCACGGCTAAACGCACATATCTGAAGCATACTTTACAAATACAATTGCCGTGTCAAGAAAATTATTGATTTGACACATTAGATCAGACCAACACACATAAATTGAAATTTAAAAAAATATATACATTAAACAAATAAAGGGTCAAAAGAATTTCCGAAATTTTTCTGTGATTTTGTAAATAAGTGCGAAATATTTTAGGAGGTGGTTGCCGAAATTTAATGGTTGTAATTTATTTAGAAATATTGGCAGCAACCTACTAGATAAAGTAGATCTATAGAAATTAAAAATACACAACGCAATAAAATGGTTTTTTTTTTCAAAAACTGTGACTCCTACAAAAAAAAATTTAGACTAATTTCATTCATTTTTTTTATTAAAAAAGGTTGTGGCATTCTCGTACAAACGCCACTAGTGCAAGCAGAAATATTTGGATCACCCCAAAAAATGCACATTTATCCAAAGCGTTTGTCAAATTTCGTTTATATGAACATTTTTCACAAAATAACTTCGGCAACCACCCCCTAAAATATTTCGCACTTATTTACAAACACCTTGTATGTCATATTACCATTTCAAAAAATAAATAAAATAACAATGACAATGATTTCTTTTGAAGACCTAGTAACAACCCGTTGGACCTCTAATCATAAATTAGATCATCAATGGAACAAAATTGCGCTGAAGGCTGATTTAAAAAATAGTAAATATGATTTAAATAAAATGTTCTAATTCTGATATTTTTATATTATAAATAATATCGATTTGACACATCAGATCAGACCTACACATAAAAATTGAAATTTAAAAAAAATATGCACTAAACAAAGCAATTAAAGGGTCAAAAGAATTTCCGAAATTTTTCCGTGATTTTTGACAGATTGTATTTAAATGAAAAATGGTCGTATCGAGAATTAAAAAAAAGCATTTTGAAGCTCTAAGATTCTAGTTTTTAAATCTTTCGGTCGAAAATTTTTAGGAGCTACGGTTATCATACAATTCTAAAAAATAACGCGACAAAAAAAAATTTTGCATTTTTGTATTTTTTTCCGAGTTCAGGGACACGGAAAAAAAAATGTTTTGAGGTTTTCTCACATTTTTACCGCAAATAACTTTTAAATTATTTAAAAAAAATAGTATTTTTCGAAAAATTTTCAAAAAATTTTCGATCTTTTTTTGGAAAACCTTCCGGACGTTGAAGAAAACAAAATCCAATTGTTTCTAGCACGATTCGGCTTTTCTGCCCTATGCTTCTGTTCATCAGCTTTTAATTAAATTAAAATTAAAGTTGATGACCCAAACCAGATTTCGATTCATACCTTTTTTTACGACTTTGTAATTAATTTGTATGCAGTCTGTAATCATTTAAAAATCAGTTTTTTTCAAAACTACCCTTTTTCTTCTGAAAAAAAATTTCGAAAATTTTTCGAAAAAATTTTTTTCCATTTTAGTCATGATTATGAAGTGTTTAAGCTTAAAATCGTGACCTTTTAATTTTTTTCAAAAGTTTGACTGTTTGAAACAAAGAGACGGTTCGTTAGATCGAGATGAAATTTCACAGGGTTCTTCTGGATATATCGAACTGTAAAAGTCATGCTTAACATTAGTCATTTCGTGAATGTTTATAATTTAGCCGTCAATTTTCTAAAAAAACATAAATTACCCTTTTTTCCTGTTTTTTTAAATTCCTATAAGACGAGAAAAAAAATCCGAAATGTTGCGGCAGCATGTTATAGGACATTTATTACAGTTTTCAAAGCTTCTCTTCAATTTTCTGTACGACCAGTTGTCGCTGAAATATCGATGATTGAAGACAAAAGGATCCTTTTCCATTGAAAGTCCGATATTTCGATGAATAATGGTCGTATCGAAATTAAAAGAAAAAAAGGAAATTAAAGCTGAAGAAACAACCTATCTGGTCCATGCAATGGCTTCGCTGAAAAAAAAAATTTCAAGTCCGTGAACTCGGAAAAAAAATAAAAAAATTTGCAAAATTTTTTTGCCGCGCTATTTCTTAGAATTGCATGATAATCGTAGCTCCTAAAAATTTTCGACCGAAAGATCTAAAAACTAGAATCTTAGAGCTTCAAAATGCTTTTTTTTAATTCTCGATACCATTTTTCACTAAAATACAGTCTGTCAAAAATCACGGAAAAATTTCGGAAATTCTTTTGACCCTTTAATTGTTTGCATTAGTGTAGTTGTATAAGTTGTCTTTAGAATTACTTTTGTAGTTAATACGACATTATGGCGTCCAGAAAGTCCAAATATGAACCATTATCGCCACTGTCATATTTACGCCATCCGTCGATGTGTTTGGCCGAAAACATTTCGAACGACCTCGTATATGTACAAATACATTTAACTGATCGATGTAGATAGAGATTTACATTTCTGTAATTATACACCTGTTGAGAAAATTATCGTTTGCAATTATATTATTCTTATCTACCTCCGGCAATGCACTTACCCCCCAATTCCAACGCAACTCTAGTTTATTTTAAAGTAATGGGCCAAAACCAACTGGGTCGATTCCTGTTCTGCGCATAAAAGAGTCTCTTCCACGTATAACCTTAATATATACAGAAGAACAGTTTCAGAAGGCATTTCTAGGCACAAGTTCGTTTCAAGTTACTAAAAAGAAAACTCGATGAAAAAAATACTTTTAAAAATGTTTCTTAACAGAAAAATATACAAATTTAGGCAAAGACGATTAAACTTTCTCCAAAATATAAGTTTAACAGTGTTTCACTGATTATTTTAAGCCACGCAACAAAAAATTGCATTTACATAATAGGGCGAGAGTACAACAAATAGCATAAACCAAACAATAAGTAAGAGAAAAAATCAGTAACTCAGTATGCAACTTAAAGATAATGTCAGATACTTAAATATATTAATGTACTAATACCATGAGATGATAATTATACAGGGTGTTTGTAAATAAGTGCCAAATATTTTATAGGGTGGTCGCCGAAATTTAATGGTTGTATTTTATTTAGAAATATTGACAGATAATGTAGATCTATAGAAATTAAAAATACAGAACGCAATAAAATGTTTTATTTTTATTTTTTCAAAAACGATGCCTCCTACGAAAAAATTGAAGAGACCAATTTCATTCAGAATTGATGGCGGATTTCTAAAAAAATATCAAAACGGGAAAAAGTCAGTGGCGTACCATTTTTTTTATTAAAAAAGAAGGTGGCATTCTCGTATGAACGCCACTGGTGCAAGTAGAAATATTCGGATCACCACAAAAAATGCACAGTTATCCCTCCAAATCGTTTTTCAAATTTCGTTTGCATCAAGCCCCAACTTTTTTTTAAATGGAAGGTTTAGGTTGATTATTTTTTTATTTTAAAGCTTTTTCAATTGCAAAGACAATTACGTATTTTTTTTGTTGCTTTTTATAAGTCAGCAGCTGTAGAGGCAACAATTGAGCTTTTTTGTAAAATCCAGTGCTTAATCGTTTTTAATTTTTTCGATGTTACTGAATATTTTGGAAATTCAATAAGTTAATTTGATTTCTAGTGGTATTTCAATTAAAAAAGATCTGTTCCATTTTATTCCAGAAACAAATTATTTATTATTATTATTACTATTTTTTAGTCTAAAATAAATTTACACAGTTGTATACATGGAAAATAATTATATTACTTACTGTTCGTTTCACATACAAAAATGTATAAGAATTATTTACTAGAAGTACAGTTTTAAATACAATGTAGGTAATCATAAAAGTCTGTTAATTCAGTGAAGTAGGAATTTGTCCCTACTACCTTTCAAAAAATTTAAAATTTCTAAAATTACATTCCATTTAAAATTAGAAATGTTAAATATAATAATTAATAAATAACTATAATATAATAAAGACTCGCATCCTTAAGCCCATTTTATTATGTATTATTTCTCAGTTACTATGTAATATTTTCTAAAACATTTGAAAGATTTACTTCTGTTATCTCAAGAAAAAACATTTAAGCTCTTCAGTCTATAAAACAAATTAAAACTTTTACCATTAATTTTTTCTATCCACATATTAATTGCGTCATAATAAAAGTTTTACAATTCCCAACTTTTTATTTCATGTAATAAATTTATTCTTTTTTTTTTTTCAGGTGACATTACACAAAAAGGATATGAAAAGAAGAGAACAAGACTTCTGTCTCCCTACGTGCCTAAACAAAATTCAAGTAAGTTTCAACATAAGATGTATAATATTTTTTACGTATATGAATTAATTCAGTTTTGTATGAAAGTTGTCTTATATCAATATAAATGATGTGTTTGCACCATTTTGTGACGTCACGTGTGTCTTTGTTTCCTAGTATATTTGTTTCTGTTTATTTCTACTTTACTTTTTGATAATGAGTTTAAACGTAACTAACTTCTAAGTCTTTTGGTAGTGGATTGGGTATTTAACATTTTTCGTACTAAAATATTGGATTTAAGTCAACATATATTTCTACAGGGTGTAAAAGCGATGTTGTGATACACTTTTAAGACAATTCTGTCATCAGAACAAACAAGAAAGGTAGACATCGAACTTGATACAGTGCAAGTTCCGTTATAGTAGATACTTACATGTAAATTTTAAACAAAAAGTAATCAATAGCATCGATATTATACTCCAGTCGAGTTAGATTATAAAACCTGAAAACTTGAAAAAATTATTAATAGACATTTTATTGCTCTTTATGACGGGGAGGGTATGTAGAATGATAATATCAAGAAAGTAACTCGAAAGAGGTGACGCTAAGTTGGCAAATTGCAAATAAGTTAAATTTTTTTTACTGTCCATGAAAATCTAGACGACATATTGGAAAATTAATTGTTTTGAAATTTATGGAAAAGACGGTCAATACAAAGACCAATATGTGAGCCAAAGGCCGATTCAATTGACCGTGAAATTGTTGCTCCAGATACTTGTTAATTAATTTTGGAAGTTAATATTGTAGATAAAGGTTCTAATAATTCATCCAAAGAAACGTATCGAAAAAGAAAAATTTCAAAAAGTTGAAATTAAGTAGCCTTTTACAACTAACAAAGTAGGACGTACAAAACAACTTTATAAACAAATTGTCTCAGTGCCAGACAAAAGTCGCTCGGGAATTCGCTCTTTTTGCATTAGAGTTTATTTTGACGGCAATACATGATGTTTTTCTACTAAAAGAGGTGCATATGTTTTGATTGGAAATCGTCTGTTTAGTTTAGTCTATACATATAGCTAATACGAAGGAACTGAACTGTACCAAATATGAAGTGTACCTGATGCCCGATTTTTGAGCATCATCATGAGAATATCGTTTCTTAAGAAATACATGATCGATCATATTAAGACAGTTACGAAAGATGATGAATAACGTTCCGAAGATAAATTTCTTCTCGTTTATTGACAAAAGACTGAAAATTTTGTTTTCATTTTTTTAGTTAATATCCAAAGGAGATGGATTTTTAAACTTAAACATGATTAGGATACTTTCTATAGTTGTCTTATTAGATGTGTCATATTGTGTTTCCGTAATTTTCATTGTTTCTCATTTTTCTAATTACGATGATTTTTACAAAGTGTGCTTCGGAAACAAGGTGTCTAAGAATTACTCCAGACGAATGACAGTTGAGTTAAATTTTCATTGACATCAGAGTTTAGAGAACTAAAAATGCAATTTTCAAAAGAAGACCAGAAGGATTTGCTGCAAACGTATTGATCAATTGTTTTTAAAAGTATCTGGTTCTGGTTCATATAAAAATTGCAATTTTTAGTTGTCTTAACTTTGACGTTCTCAAATAAATTTTAAGTAACTGTCAAAATTTCATTTGGAGTAATAGTGAATGTATTGTCTCCAAAGCAGCCTACGTAAAACTGGTTAATCTGATATTTCAGCAAATACAAAAACTATAACGTAGGTATAACGTATAATAAGAAAAATAAGGTTAATTTAGCTGGATGAAACCTATCTTGACCTTGAACAATTTATTAAAAACTATTTACATTCAATCTTTGAAAAATCTTAGTCTTCAGGAATCGTTTTAAGAAAAAATATTAATTATATATTTTTTTTGTTTTGATGAGGAATCGCTCTTAAATTTTTTTCTCAATTCGCTATTACACTCTGTATATTACACTATGGCGCTACTAAAATAGTCGATATAATTTTAAAAAGACAAAAATAGTTAATATATGCCTTACGATGATTTGAAGAAAATACTATTTTTATTTGAGTAAAATTTAATTTTGCCTGCATATTCTACTACTAAATAGAATTTGTTTATGTTATTACAGTGTAACAAATTATTTTTTAGAAAAATTACTGGACAAAAAGTTTTTTATTTGTAACTGGAGAAATGTTGCAATTTATCAAAATGATACAAGGGCACAGGTTTTTTTACTACGCCAATTTAGAACACTGGCCAACTTTGAATTTAATTTTAGAGTATTTTCATGACCCAGTGATTAAATTGAAGGTAATTTGTTTGGGAATGGGGTCAGTTTTAAAAAAAAAACAGTTTAGTGGTTAGTCGACGTTTCGGCTATATTTAAGCCTTCTTCAGGACACTAAAATAATTACAATAAATAAATATACACATCATTATACATATTGACTATTAGGATTAAAACATATTAAAATTCAATAATATTACAATGATGAAGGATCAAGAACCAATCACAAGGAAACGTTTACGAAAATATAATAATAAATTTATCAGGTACTTACATCCAAAAAAGGTTTTCCGTGTAACAAATAATCTAAATAATGGGGAGTAAAATAGGTAGTATGTTGCTGTATCAAAATCGCAGCGATATAGATAATTTACAAACATCGTATTTTAATCTTATAGACAGAAGTAAGAGACACAGACATTTAACAACAATATAGCTCTGGTTTTATACACATTTCAATGTCTTTGAATTTTTTTTGTCTTGGCCCCCTTTTTTCTGTTCCACACTTAAATCCTCTAATAGATTCATTCATAGATATTTTAATCAACATCGAGTAATGTACTATTTTGATACAGCAACATACTACCTATTTTACTCCCCATTATTTAGATTATTTGTTACAGGGAAAACCTTTTTTGGATGTAAGTACCCGTTAAATTTATTATTATATTTTCGTAAACGTTTCCTTGTGATTGGTTCTTGATCCTTCATCATTGTAATATTATTGAATTTTAATCTGTTTTAATCCTAATAGTCAATATGTATAATGATTTGTATGTTTATTTATTGTAATTATTTTAGTGTCCTGAAGAAGGATTAAATATAGCCGAAACGTCGACTAACCAATAAACTGTTTTTTTTTTTAAAAAAACTGACCCCATTCCCAAACAAATTACCTTCAATTTGAATTTAATATTCTAGAAATACTTACTATTACTAGATACTACTATCACCGAATTACTATTAATTAATAATAAAAATATTTATAAAAACACTTATTAGCTATCGATGTCTGTCTCGCCACAATTAAGATTTAAAGTCATTAATTTCAAAGTTACAGTTGTTTAAATGACGTCATTATTTCGTTTGTTTTAAATAAGTATTTAAAAAGTTTTATCGAATCACATTTTTATGTGTGCGTTACTGGTTTATTATCATTATTTTCCTACTATTTTGTAATTTAACAAAATATTTCATTAAACTAATATGTATTTTTTTTATAAATTTTCTGTAAATGAAACAACAACCAAAACATAATGTAACTGTTGAATGCATTATTAATACGTTGCCAGTGGTGTCGAATTTTAACGGAAATGGGGTAATTTAAGTAAATATCCACGATTGTGTCCCGAAGAGAGAATTTTTTTATTTGTAAATTGACGGCAAAATGTCATTCTTTAAAAAATTTCTTGCTTAAACTTTTAATTTCATAAGCATGGTGTTCAGTTTTTGGAAAAATATATTCTAGTTACAAGAAGGTGGTAAATACGAAATTTTAGACAACAGTTGTGATTCTCGAATAAACCAGAATATTCCCAAATTCTCTGGTATAAACCGGAAATTCTTGACATAATTCATTAAAATCCATTGAAATTATATTGGAACTTCTAAGTCTGGACCGCATCTTCATGTTCTGTTATTGGATACATTATATTTAATGCTGATTCATGGCTTGAAACCATCGATGTATAGGTGTCTGGAAAAATAAAAATGGGCGGTGCTCATAAAGACACTAAATTTTAGTAGTACTATTATTTGTTTCTACTAACTTCTACTAGATTAGTGGTGCTCATAAAGTACTATTAATATTAGCAGTTCTTAATATTAGGTACCTAGTTAGTTGTAAATATTTTAGTAGTACTTTATGGCTATATTAAGGTTTACCAAGTCATTTAATAAATATAAAATTAACCTTATTTAAAAAAAATTGGAAATTAGGCAAATGAGAGAAATTCGTGAAAATCATGAACTGAGAGAATTACATTTGAGCATGAAGAGAAAAATTTACAAGAAAAAAAAAATCCTTTAAATATTTTAGGTGTCATTGCATTTGTAAAAATTTATATATTTTCAAAAACTAGAGTCAGATTTATATGTAATATTATAAGAAACGATATTGAATCAAGATCTAATTACAATTTATACCAATTTCAGTCATTATTTTAGAAGAAAATTAAAACTGAACACAGAACAGACACAGAAGATAAAACACGGTCTTATTAGTGCAGATTTCCTATTGAGGGTTGCTTTCGCTGTACAGCAAGAAATAAACGCTCTCTCAACGGTAATAATAAAGAATTTTATTGAAAACTGGTGTACAGAAAACTTTGACCAAACATGTGTACCCACACTATAATGTTTCTCTCTCAACATAAATAAATTTCTATATATTTCTATGTTATAAATATTTGACAATTGGTAGATCACGTTTACCAGATTTACCTTACAATTTATTAAAATATTTTGGTAGTTATATTAGGAGCACTACTAGCATTAATAGCATACTATCCTATTTTATTAAAAAAATAGCTTAATAGGTAGGTACTGATATTTAGTAAAAGATGAGCTCGGTTCGATAAGTTTAGTATAATTCAAATTTACTTGTAAAAATGTAATATAGGTACACTATGCAATACAAAGACCGTGCATTAAAATTATACAGGGTCTACTGGTTGTTTAATTTATTACTCAATATTTTGTACTAGGCCAGTCATTATAGCTTTTTTTCGGGAAAAAAATACTATTAGAAGTTTCTCTGCGGAATATTGTTCAGAAACGTGTTATAAACAAAATATCAAAAAATCAAATCGAGACTAGTTGGGAAACTTTGTTAAAACAATGGTCAAAATTATGCAAAAGTGGTTTTTTGACTCGCGTAAAAAAACTGTTATTCATAGAGAAAAAGGGTTTATACAAAAAAGGTATGTATTAAATAAATCTGTAAAATAAGACAAGTCCGATTAAATTCCCATAATTTGTTTATGCGCAAGAGCTCAAAAATGGTCGAAATTGTCCGCTTTTTTCAATTGCTAATAATTAATGCAATTTTCATCGCAGACACTTGTAATTCAGGATTTTTTAAGCTTTTTGCACCCTTAATAAGTGGTAAAAATTTCAGCCCAAAAACTTCATTAGCTTGG